TTTACAACTATAATTGGGACCACGATTTCCACTGCTAATTGATGTGACTGTCAAGGCCACCACAATCCCTTTGATCTGAGTTTCCATCAATGAACTTCTTGCTAGCTTCCCATAATCTAAGTCAGCTGGCAAGAAGTTGCAGGTCCCAGGCCGGTAGGTAGGTAAAAGACTGCTACTGAGTGATGAAAGGAAGTGAGGGGAATCAGGAGGGTGCATGAGGGTATAAAGGTGCACAACAGGCAGGGATCAGAAAGGGTGCAAATGGAGTAGCTGGGGAAAGTGCACAAATGCGGGAGACTTACCTCAGCAATTTGCAACCTCCCCTGCTGTCTTCCCCACTGACTTTCTGGGGAAGACGAAAGGGAAGGTTACGAATGGCGATTGTGGGTATTTGGGGTGCTCAGCAACCAGTCATTAGGGGCAAATGGGTTGCCAAGCACCCACATCACAATCCTGTAACTATGGGGATGCTAGAATGGCTGTAACTCCAAGAACAAGTTGTAACCCCCATTCATTCAACGCCACTGTAATTTGAACAGTTGCTGAATGAATGGCCATAAGTTGAGGTCTACCCATATAACTACAGAACATAAAAAAAAAACTCACTCAGATGCAGTAAAAATCTGGCTGGAATTGGAGCAGATGGCATTAATAGGACTATCGTGTCCTTTTAGTTCACTGATTGGGGCAAATGTGTCTCCATTCCAGAGCTTCAGAATGCCTCCTCGGCAGCCGCTCAACAGCACGGAGGAATCAGGAACAACACCAAGAGCGCAAACCCAATCCTTGTGAGCATTAGGAACTTGCTGAAAAGAAAACCACAAGTTGAGGCAGAAAAATGTCAATACCTGTAACGAGGGACAAAACCGTTTCAGAAAATATGAACCGGGCGATAATTAGATGCGTAAACCAAAATAATGTGCATTCTATTACAGATATTCCTCAATGTGTGAGCACAACTGAGACCAGAACTTCTGTTGTTAAACAAGGCAGTTATTAAGTAAGTTGTGCACAATTTTATGACCCTTTTTGCCATGGTTGTTATGCTAATCACCACAGTCAATTGAATCATGTGGTCATTAAGTGAATCTGGTTTCCCCCATTGACTTCCCCAGTGTTCAAGTCTATCAAGATCCTTCTGAATCTTGAGCCTATCTTTTAAACTGTTGACTATCCCCCCCAAGTTGGTGTTGTCTGCAAATTTGATGAATTTCTCTTCTATCCCTTTATCTTCACTTTCTAGTTATCTCAACCTTCCTAATGCCGCGACCCTTTAATATAGTTCCTCATGTTGTGGTGACCCCCAACCATAAAATTATTTTATGTTTTCCGTATTTTTTTGAAAATATGAATTTTCCAACCCTTGTGCAACCCTTGTGAAAGGGTCGTTCGACCCCCAAAGGTGTCCTGACCCACAGGTTGAGAACCACTGATCTAGATCATTTATGAACCTTGGGTTACCCACCTGCATGCATGCTTCCTCCATGCAGAGGTGATTCCACTAAGGGCTACATGTTGAATGTAGCTGGTCAGCCAATAATNCCATCATTATACCCAATAAAACAGTAAAACATTTTACTTGAAAATTATTCTAAACTTTTAAAAATAGCTGAATTTACAAATTAAATCCCGAACATTTGGATAAATTATACATATCTTCCAATCTGCACTCACTACAGCATTTTTAAAATTCACTCAGGAACCCAGTGTCTCTCTTTATAACTCACCTATTTACAGTCTCTCTTGATACCGTTGTTACAATTCTCTTACGTAGCTTTCAAGGTTCACAGACATATTTAAAATGTATTTAGCAGCATTATCAAATTAGATTAAAAAGAAAGGAAACCTTTAGAACATGAGATGAAAAGCACTCCATGTGGAAAAAAAAACAAAAACAAGGTCTTTCTCTATGAATACTGCGGTAGGCCGAAGCCCTAATAAAATGTTAATTAGATAGCATTTTAGTTTTTAGTCCTGAGCACAGAGTAGACATAAGCTGCGCTACTTTGGTCAATAAAAGTACAGGGTTATGTAACATTCATTGTTAGCAGATTATAGGATGCTTCCAGAGTTTTATTATGCAACTTCCTCCTGCCTCAACAATTTACCAAGATGAAATCCAGACATTGGATTCCTAGATTTTGAATTTCCAGTCATCCCACATTTTCCCACCATGACTGCCATCTTTTTCTTTGAATGGAAAATAAAGTTAAGGAAGATTTATTAGTTGCACGATTTCTTTTGATTTATGTCAGTTTGGAAACAGTGACCGTCAAAAGCAAGTAATCTCTTCCAGTTTATTGACACTCCAGTCTTAATATTTCATACAGCAGCAAAATTCAAGTAAACGTATTAGGAACCCCCTCCATTCCCTTCCGTTAAAGGCTTTGGAAATGAGATAAAATATACCGGTATATTTTTGGATAACTGTGAAGTTTCATTCCACAGAAGGGTCAATGTGAGGTACAATGTAGGACAACTTCACATTCTAGGTTACAGTTTTTCAGACCACCATTCAAGGTCACAGATATCCAGTTTGATTTTGCCAAGTCTTATTGGTACACACACATTAAGCCATTATAGGTTAGAACAAGCAGTCACACAACCCCAGACAAAGATATATAAAACCAACATTTGGAACGCAGTATACATAAGGCAGCTCTTAAGGGCAGCAGTTTTTAGCAGAATACGAATGCCTAAGAGTAGAACAATTAACAATTCTTTCGGGTACTACCATTTGCCTATAAATGCAGAGCAACTTCAGTGAGGGCAAAGCTTATCATCAGAGCTTGAGATGTTCTAGTGATGCAACTCCTCTTCAGTTACTGGCAATATCTTCACTTGTATCACCTGGATCAGAGAGCTGTCCATCTAGACTGCTGGGAACTTTCCAGATTTTCACCGTTCGATCACTGTAAAACATGATTAACATTTAAAGGGGATGAAAACGAAACATTAATGAACTGTTCAATTAAATGAAGCTGACCTCTGATTGGGAGAGATTATTGTTCTTTATAAAGTAATTACTCATACAGTACAACTCTTCTCCACTGGAATAACTTTTTCCTTAATGAGATGTTTTTATAGAGAAGGAACCATCTCAGCAAGTGTCAATTTATAAATGGGCACAAATGGGAGCGAATACTGTTTTGGCCTCCATGGTTTGTTTTCCAAAAGTGGAGGATTATTAAGCCATATTAGTGTTGTGGCCCGCCAGCAGAGCTGGCAGCAGATTCAAACAGTGAGGAGGTTGGGGAGGAACATGGGCCAGTCCTTGAGTCTGGGGAAGGCTGTGATGAAGGCTCTGTGTTGGAGGCAGAGATGGGGCCACAGCCGTATGCCAGTTACCAGCTGCCTTTAGAGGCAGACATCAGTGGGGCAGACGAACAGCTGGAGCCTGCTCCCAGTGTGCGCATGCGCAGAATTGCCAGACGAAGGCAACAGCTAAAGAACAGGGGTTAACCTGGGAGTAAGGCCACGATGAATGGCCCTCCCAAAGGAAATAAAAGAGGAGCGAAAGGGGAGTGGAGTTTGCAGGAGACAATTAGT